GTTGGATCTGCCTCTGACAATAGCTCATCCATTTTTTTTAAGAAGAAGGTTAGCCCTGAGCTAACATCTGCCGCCAATCCTCCTCTTTTTCTGAGGAAGACTGGCCCTGAGCTAACATCCGTGCCCTTCTTCCTCTACTTTGTATGTGGGATGCCTGCTACAGCATGGCTTGACAAGCGGTGCGTAGGTCTGTACCTGGGATCCGAACCAGCGAACCCCGGGCCGCCGAAGCAGAACATGCGAACTTAACCACTGTGCCACTGGACCAGCCCCTCATCCAATTTTTTGACTAACAGTTGTCATAATCTTAAGTTCATTCTCCTTAATTAGAAGCCTGTTAATCTTCCTGATGCAAAGTATGCAGTTAATTGCCAACACAGGACTTTTGAGGAAATGTCACTAGAGACATAAAGCATATCAAGACGTTAATTAATAGCAGATAAGAAGGGTTAAGTGTGAAAAAGGAATACTTAATCATGTATTCTACCAAAATAAAATAAAGACACTGAATTTTACCCTGAAAACACCTTACCTACTCCTCACTCCCCAGTTCAAAGACTTTTCTTTTGGCCAACAAGACAAAGGCTTCTACAGTCACGTGTCAACAGGGGGGATACATTCTGAGAAATGCATCATTAGGCAATTTCGTCATTGTGCGAACATCATCCAGTATACTTACACAAACCTAGATGGTATAGCTAACTACCCACTTAGGCTCTGTGGTACTAATCTTATAAGACCACCATAGTATACACAGTCTGTCGTTGACGGAAACATCGTTATGTGGCACATGACTGTATACCCTAGAATAGGAGTCTTTCACTGAGCCATCATCGTCCAGATTTTCCAGAGTCCTTTCTCTAGAACCACTTCAGGTTTTTCTTTGAGATGCTTGATACCATCGTTTTCAGGAACTCTTGAATATGTCTGCTTTTACTTTCTCTCTTTCATGTCTCAAGTAACTAAAGTCTGATTGATTTGTGGAGGAGTTTTGATTTGAATTATAATCTCCGTAAGGATTTAGTGTGAACCACTGGATCAGAATATCTGGCTGGTCTTGAATGCTGCAGGGAATTTCTCAGAGATTTTTTTCAATGTGTCACTTTATATAATTGTTGAGAGAGAATTCTTTTAAAAAATAAGAACAGCGCCTGCAAAGGCATGTCGTAAGCCACACACCCACCATTCAGATACATACGTGGCTGGGAGGGAACAAGTCAGTATGATTTCTGCAATATAAAAGCTTGTTATGGGTAGTCAGAAAAAAATGCTAAAACACTCAGGATGCCTAGAGTCTACTAAAATGTAACTTAGGGTGTCGTAACCAAAATATAGGTCTTATTGAATCAGTATAGGTTTGAGATGACCAATAATTTTGTTGACCTTTGCTTATGTTACTTAAATCTGAACACATTTTTACAGTTTGGGAGTTTAATACCTTACATTTTGTCTTGGCTGCTTAATGAAATAGAGGAGGAAACCAAGAAGCAAATGATGCACTATGAGCTTAAAAACCATTTGAATTTAGGGGCCGCCCCTGTGGCCGAGTGGTTAAAGTTCCACATGCTCCACTTCGGTGGCCCAGGTTCACAGGTTCAGATCCTGGGTACGGACCTGCTCCACTCATCAGCCATGCTGTGAAGGCATCCCACATACAAGAATAGAGGAGGATTGGCACGGATGTTAGCTCAGGGCTAATCTTCCTCAAGCCAAAAAAAAAAGATTGGCAATTGACAACAGATGTTCGCTCAGGGCAAGTCTTCCTCACACACAAAATTTGAGTTTACCTACCTTGTTAAATTGTGTGAATCACTCCATGTGCCTGGTGAATGGCTGCGCAGTGCCACACAACAGGGTGGTCATGTAAGAGAGCTTTCACTGATGATGATCTTAAAGGCTGTGGAATGCTAAACTAATGATTTGGGAAAGATAATGTTTCATTATTTCCAAGGTTCTTTTCAAACTTAACAAGGATAGCATCTCATCAAGGACAGGGTATCATAGATTCTTAAATAATAGAGGATACCTTTGCTATTTACTGAGGACACTTTTTAGGAGAAAATTTGACATTGCAATTATATATTTGGTGCTACTAAATTACACTCAGATGCCTAGGTAGGAAGTACAGTCTAAGATATAAAAACAGCAAGATGGCAATTTATTGTTTTGCTCAGTAGCAGTAAGCAACGTCATGCTCTCTGCTGGCTACTAACACCACAAAGATGAAAAGACAAGGCCTTCGTTCTCAAGAGGCTCACAACCCAGTAGCGAGACAGACAGGTAAACATTTACTGTACACTGCGATTCTAACAGCCATAGATCCCCACTCCACTGGTATTCAGATTTCTAGCCCACACCAGGCCTGCCGATCAGGATCTCTGAGGTAGGCTGGGAGTCTGCATCATTAAAGGTCACCTCAGTCCTCCTTGCCAAGCCAGGCTGAGGAACCGCTGCCCCAGGGTCAGATTGCTCCACACCCTGCTCGCCTCCTCCTCCCAGGATCTTGTGAAGCTGCATCTCTGATGGCACCCTACACAGACTCGCCCCAGGTTAGAGGGGGAGGCAGGGAAAGGAGGCACCAAGTCCTTCCACCCAACCCCACTGAGAGGGCTCTGACCACTACGGGCCTGAAGGGCTGTGGAACAGGTTGACAGGTGTTCCTTAGAGGCATCCAAGCTTGCCACCAGGATGTGAAAGCGTGAGTTCACAGCGGGCACTTAGAGAGTTTTCTGTTCTTTCTAGATAATATATATGACCAATACTTTCGCCCCTTCCTCTTTCCTATACCCACTGCTTGTATATCGCATTACTGCTCATTGAGTCAATCTAGATGTGAAAGATAATTTGTTGACTTTATCAACCTTGAAAAGTGAGAGAGGGAGTGTGTACCTAATATTTAAGTTTACGAAAAACTATATAATGGATTGTGAGAATATCCTCTTTCAAATGACCAGAGACCGCTCTGTCCCTCCTGGCACCGTCCATCCTCCTCTTCTGCTGCCGGGAGCTGCCTGACGCACTGTCCCTCACAGTCTCCTCTTCCCCTGCTCCTCTGTTGTTCACTGCTCACATTTCCACGAACTGACCCTCAGGCAGCCTTTTTTCTTCACGTATAAATCTTCCTTAGCCCCATTCCTTAAGCTGATTGTTTTCATTTTTTTCCAGTTACGTCAGGAATAATTCACCACCTTCTTTCTGTCTTTGCTTGTTCATTTCCCTTCTCATACTGTGGATAGCCTGAAGATTATGTACCTTATAGGGTCCAGGAGTCTCCACAGGAGTTTCTCTTTGCTGATACTAATGCTGATACTGATGCCCTCATCCGCTGCACCCGTGCTGTCTGGAAGGCGCTGTGTTGGGCCCCCCATCCTCCAGCAGATCTTTTGTAAACGAATTGAAGGCAGGGACCAGCCATATACCTTTCTGAATTCTCAGTACGGTTCTTTGCACACAGGAAATGGCTTATAAATATTTGCTAATCAGAGAGAGGTAAAACAATTTTACCTCACATTGAAAATAATTTTTTAAAAATTATTTCATATGCAGTTGTATTTTGTTTCATTGCCAGTATTGCAGCAATATTCCTTTTTTATGATAAATGCAAACAGCCTCACTTCAGTATGGATTAAATATGCTTTTGTGAAATTAGTTAGGAACGATTTATTACATTGTTTTTATGGCAAACTGGATTCTGAGTTCTAAACAACTACCTTTACAAAGCTATTTTGGCACATAAATTATAAGATGTGGCCTGTCAGAATTTTTCTCTTTCAGTAATTTTTTTAAAAGGAGATTTCGTTTTCAGTAAAAGTGGCTTGTTTGTCTTTCTCTTCTTGAATGATTGTCATCTTGTGCCATTTAGCACAAATAAAGATTCTTAAACTTCTTTAGTTTCAGGGCATGAGGTAATTGCTAGAGCCAACTGGAAATAGATCAGGGATTAACGAAGGTGGCACATGTTTGCTGATGTCACAGGGCTGTGACTGCTGAGAGGCAGACATGCCACTATTACTGAAAACAGTTGTCGAGTGGAAAGCATACAAATTTACAGAGAAAAAAACTTTACATTGGTTATTGTCAATGAATATGCTGTATTATTTTGAGGACTTGCCCATCATTAATAAGTTTAAAGACAGTATCTAGGTTCTGTCACATCCACATGTACCCTGCCACTGCCCTGTTTGGGACTCTCCTGCCTCTCCCTGGACCGTTGCCCTCAGCTTCCCCATGTGTCCCGTCCTCGGTCCATCCTCATCTAGTGCCCAGACCCCTTCAGCCTTCCCTTCACTGTACCTCCTCACAAACGTAATGCTAATCAATCCTTATTTTTCCTCATTTCCTTTCCCTCTCTCCCTCTTTTCCTCCTCTCTCTCTCTCTCTCTCTCTCTCGTTTCTTTCACAATGAAACATCAAAATAAGTGAACACAGAAATTTTTGGCTTCAACCACTCCCCATTCCCCAAAGTCACCCTCAGTCCCACCTTCACCTCCTCCGCAAAGACGTCTTTCTCGCCACTTCAAAAAGTGCAGATGTCATGAAGGGCCAGTTCAAAAGCCACTGCGTAATGTTTCTCTGATCATCTCCTCCATCCACATAGATGAATACACATCATCTTTACTTCCCCTGGGAACTTCGTACTTCTAGGACTTATCATATTCCGCCTTGTTTTACCATTGTTGCTAGTGGATTGCAAGCTCATTAAGAGCAGTGTCCGTGTTTGGTGTAATTTTGTGTGCCTCTTAGCACTCGGGAGAGGAGTCTTCTCATAGGGGTGTAAGAAGTGTGTATTGAACACTTATTTCTCCTCAGGAAAGTCTAGTGTAAATGTACTTTGTCGAAGTTGGTGTTTGTGACACCTCCTTGTATCATTCCACATTCTCTTTCACACGAGTTTCTCCAGATTTTCAAGGTGAAAGAACAGCCCCTTTTGATTAACAAGTTTCATCTTGCTTTTTATTTGAATCTCAATGGTCAGTGAATTGTATCCTCTCTTCTGGTAGCCTCGTCTGCAAGCTGAACACAAGGACCACCATCCTGGCAGCAACCAACCCCAAAGGCCAGTACGACCCCCGCGAGTCTGTATCTGTGAATATCGCCCTTGGCAGCCCACTCTTAAGTCGATTTGACCTTATCCTGGTTTTGCTTGATACCAAGAATGAAGACTGGGATCGTATAATTTCCTCCTTTATCCTAGAAAACAAAGGTATGTGGAGACAATCATTCAAACGGACAAAGAAAGAATAGACATAACCAAATGAAATTCTCCTTGAAGAAGATTATGTAAATACCAAAGGTACCCTACCAGATGAGCACTGGAGAGATGCCTAGACAGGGAGCAGTGAGAGGAGGCAGGTAGTGGGCCCAGAACAATGAGCAGAAGGAGAAGGGCCTTTCTCTACCTGCCATGGGTGAGATTGTAGTTGGTAAATACATCCTTTGTGATGAAACGGGGCAACCTTACGATATATAATTACCACTCACCTCTTGCATGCAAGGAAAACTGGACTGAATTATGAAACAGAAATCTCTAAATGTGTGCTTCTCTTTCAATTGAATTAGGTTTGCCCAAGTACTATTTTATTACAATAGGGCAGACCAGAATTTTTCTGAATAATTCTAAGCCCTATAGGAAGCTTACCTTTATTAAGTTTAGATCCTAAGACTGCTTATTCTCAAACTATATGCTACGCTTTCAATGACCACAAAACCTGAAGGTTACCTTTTTAAAAATTAGTACAAGAGCTTTATCAAAACCCTTAAAATGAAATGTTTACCTGTTCTTAGAAATTACTGACCCCACACCTGATTTCTACAGGTTACCCAAGCAAATCAGAGAAACTCTGGAGCATGGAAAAAATGAAAACCTACTTCTGCCTCATCAGGAACCTGCAGCCCACGCTGTCTGACGTGGGTAATCAAGTTCTTCTCCGGTACTACCAGATGCAGAGGCAGAGTGATTCCCGGAACGCTGCCCGGACAACCATCCGCCTGCTGGAAAGCTTGATCCGATTAGCAGAAGGTTCATTTCATCCAACAAATAATATTTTCATTGGGGGCCCAATAAGTGCAGGGCCTAGGGCCTGGCACCGTGAATTCAGAGATGAGAAGGATAATCCCTACCCTAAGGTGCTCGCAGTCGCTTGAAAAGTAAAGGCTCTGAGCTACGAAACCCCATCTTCTGGGGACGGATTATGGGTGTCAAGTGAAATGTAGTGTCATTAAGAAAGAGGAATCTTCGTGATATCTCAAGACCTCCTATAACTTAAAACATTCATTTTGGAAGTCTTAGTGATGTTCTGTTTCTCAAGGGCAGTCTATCAGCATTTTGGGTGGGATGCTTCCCTGTTTGGAATTGTTCCCTGTATAGCAACCTGCTGCTAAGGTAACAACACCGAAATAATGCCATGCCCTATCCCATCCCCAAGGCATGAGACTTACGTAGAGACACAGAATTCACGTGCCTCTCAAGAGTTTTTTTTTTTAACATTGGCTTTTACATTTAGCCCTTGTTTAAATAATTCTAAAAAAAAAATTCATATGAACTGACTGTATCATATCATGACATATGCTTAATAAAGAGTTCTTTAAAACAAATGCACTTCAATTTTTCAAGGATTTATAGCTAATATTAGGACAGGAAATACTGAAAATTCAGGTTTGCAAGTTTGGTAGTTTTGAAAAGCTCACAGATAAAGAGAAGTGCCAGAGATGAGAAATGAGTTTTAGTTTTGTGTATTTCTATAATAGACTAGAAAATGAGGATTAAAAGCTGTTGAATATTAAATATACGTTTATATAGCCCCTTTCTTTTCAGTGGTTCAGAGTACTTTTTTCATATAAAACTATGTACACAGAATTGCCGTGGGCTATGCAAAAGGATTAGGCCAATTATTAGAGAAACAACCCTAAAGGCAGTTGAACTTCGACTTCTGTGCTTGTTCTAGTAAAATTAGTTTGTTATTAGTAGCTCATTTATAAAATACAGTTTGGACAGGATCAGGTATTACATTTATCACCTCAAATACTCATTAAAAAACTCCTATCTTCAAAATTTCAAATGTGTCTTACTTTCTTAGCTCATGCTCGCCTGATGTTTCGTGACACTGTGACTCTGGAAGATGCTATTACAGTGGTGTCAGTAATGGAGTCCTCGATGCAGGTAAGGATATTCTGAACCTCATATTTGAACCCTACTTATAAGCATCGAAAAAAAGATGATTTATAGCATATCGGAAGTAATAAAAATGATCATATTCTAGAGCTAATAATTCCTGGAAATATCTAAAGGAAACCTTTTTTTTTTTCTCCTTTTTCTCCCCAAAGCCCCCCCAGTACATAGTTGTATATTCTTAGTTGTGGGTCCTTCTAGTTGTGGCATTTGGGATGCTGCCTCAATGTGGCTCGGTGAGCAGTGCCATGTCCGTGCCCAGGATTCGAACCAACGAAACACTGGGCCACCTGCAGCGGAGTGCGCGAACTTAACCACTCGGCCATGGGGCCGGCCCCAAGGAGACCATTTTTAAAAAGGGAAAAAATCATCATGGAAACATTCTCTACGTTAGTAGCATTGATTTTGCCCATTGGTGTGAAGTAGTGGGTCTCAATCCATTTTCTCCTCAACACACCTGAAGGATGCTCATGGTCCCACTAGTGACAACATGGCTTCCTAGAGCAATGCTTGCCACCAAGAATTGGGGGAGAGGACTATTGAAATTTGAAAAAGGCTCCCAGGTGATTCCGATACCCAAGAGGGGTAGAGGGCTAGTCTTAGCCATCCGGGTCAGGGGTCCCCAGTGTGTCCTTCCTCTCTGCAGGCGGGTCTGGTATTCTCCATTTTCTCACCCCTTCAGGGAGGTGCGCTGCTGGGAGGTGTGAATGCACTCCACACTTCCTTTCCTGAAAACCCCCTGGAGCAGTACCAGAGGCAGTGTGAACTTATTCTGGAAAAGCTGGAGCTGCACAGCCTCTTGAGTGAAGAGCTAAGAAGACTCGAAAGGTGAGAAAAGAAAACCAAGAAAGGCATATAATGGAAAATCCTTGCTTGGCATTTAGTGAAACACAGAAAGTGTAACTGAAATGGAAAATCTGTCTGTACTCTCTGTAGGGGATTGTTTCAGTTATCTCTTGCCGTGTAATCAACTACCCCAGAGCTCGACAGCTTAAAAAAAAACACGACCACCATTTTAGTGCTCGCTCTTCTGGGAGAAATTCAGGGGGGCTCTGTGGGGATACTTGTCTCTGCTCCACATGGCGTCAGCTGGGGCCGCTCATACACCAGCGTTTAGCTGGGAGCTCATATGGGATTGAAGCATCCAAGATGGCTTCTGTCACATGTGTAGTGCCTTAGCTGGAGTGGCTTAAATGGCTGGGGGTTGGCTGGGCCCTCTCTCTGTAGGGTAGTCACAGCTTTGACATGGTAGCTTAGGGCTCCAACAGAGCAAAAGTAGAGGCTGCCAGGGCCCTTACAGGCTGGGCCTGAACTAGCGCAGCATCACTTCTGCCACATTTTGGAGGTCAGAGCAAGTAAGAGGGCCAGCCCACATGCAACATAAAGGGAACTAGACACCACCTGTTGACGGGAGGAGTGGCATAGACCTACCAGGATAGGGGAATTGATGGCTGCCATCTCTGGAGACTGCTTTCCACAGCTGCGTTTCCTTGGCTTGCTGGTTTGGTCAGCCTCGTGGAGAAGTCGGACTGACTGGTCCTTCTCTCTATATAGTAAGCTGTATATAAATTCACTATCTAGTAAGTTGGTATCACTGGGTCCCGATTACATAAGAAGCACCAAGGTCAGCCACCCCAGTTCACACCCAAGATGCACGGTTTCCGTGGCATCAAGAAACTGGAGTGAATGGGCTTTATTCTGTCTACTACCACCACTTCTTCCTCTTCTCTTTCTTTGGCTCGGTGTGAGAAGCAGGGCAGTGCTATTCAGAGAGGTGGCTGGGACGGCTGCTACGAAAGAGGAAGTTGGACACCAGGAGAGTGACCTACCCCAGGCCAGACCTGGACACAAAACATTTTGATAACTTGGCTTTATCATTTTTCCTCACCAGGAGAGGATATGTACAAGGGAGTGTACATAAAGAATTGTTGTGTTTATTAATATTTTAATTTTATTCTTCTTGTTTTTAAAGCTTTCTTCCAAGCTTGATAAATATTGATCGGTAGTCTATATATGACCCTGGTGACAGAAAATCACAGGCAGAAGACAGGCCCAGGCTGCTTTCTGGCCAGCCTAGGCTAGTAAGCTGAGGAGTTAGGGGTTGGTTAGAGGTAACCAGGCCTTGCTTTCCCCTGGGCAAGGCCCTGCTGGCTCCTTAGCAGCAGCTCTGAGCCTCCCGTCAGCATCCTGATCTTCCTTCTCTACATGCCCGAGTTCATGACTTTTAAAAATTTACATATTTAACAGACTAAAAAAAATCCCCGGTGAGAACGATGTATTTTATGTCAAAGAGGGAAATTTGTTTTTCATCCTCCAGGGTAACAACTCAGGAATGACAAAAGCAGTGTCCACAACTCAACTTTCTAATGACTTGTTAAAATGTGGACACACGGGAAGGACCGTGGCACGTGTATTACCTAAAGAATTTTTCCCTGAACTTTAGTGTTTCGTGCTCCCTAACTACATGAGCTTCTAAAAGGCTAAGCTTTGAGTCTGTCCCTGTGAAACAGGAATGAGGAACGGCAAGTGTATCCGTTGGGTGTCTTCATGATCAGTGCGAGTGGCTTAATGATTGACCTGAACCTGGTTGTTGGTGTTGCTCTCGGAGCTGGGGTCTGGTGAGCCAAGTGCCCGTGGAAGTGGAGCAGCTGCAGGAGGATTTGGGGACCACACCGGGATAGTGACTGTATTAAATAAAGCCCTGAGTATTCTTTTCCTGTGTTTCTCTCTTGTTTGCTCACTCTCTTCCTCCAGCAGCATCCTCTTTTGAATTTGTAAAACCTCAGCACTCCCTGGGGAGGCGTGGAGACTGCCTCTGTCCTGCTGATACCCAGGTGCCAGCCTGCAGTAAACTTGCACTTGGTGTAAAACCAACCCCCTTTTCTTTTGGTCTCCTGGCTTTTTAATGATCCAGCACATGGTGTTAAGATCAGAGCTGTTCCTTTGGTTCTTTTGTGTTTGATGTGGCTGGTCCTTTTCACACCTGCCCTGGGCTAGGCTTGGCTTTTGGAGAGGCTGCTCACTTTGACCAGAAACTGGTCATTTTGACTACCAGAAACTGACATGCTGGATCAGGAAGGGGGAAGGAATGTGAGGCTCAAGATCAGTGTTATGTGATAGAGAAACAGCAATAGGACTTACCGGATTCAAAGTGACCCTCCAGGAGGCAAAGAAGAGAAAAAAGGTAGGTAATGATCTAAAAGATAGGATGTGCCTTAAAATATTCCTTTCTTCTGGTATTTCTTTGTCATGCAGGGCCATGTTCTGGTGTTGATCCTCGAAGCAGCAAAACCCAGTGCCCTGCAAGTGAAAGTGAATTACCTCAACAGCACGAAAAGCTAATCTCATCAAGTGAGAAAACCCCAGCAGCCTGTGGGTTTATCCCCTTAGGAAAGAGTTCTCTATTCCTGAAGGAGATCACACATTAATAATAAAACCATTTGTATTTTTATCACACTTTTATTCTGGAAAGTGCTTTACTAGTGACAGCCTGCCTCAAGTGGTGGCTAGTCTACCCACCTCGAAACAGAGTGCAAAGATGCTGTCTTTTAGGAAGGTCTAGTAAAACTAGACTCTCTTTTTTCTTTCTTTCTCTTTTTTTTGGGGGGGGGGGGTGAGGAAGATTGGCCCTGAGCCAACATCTGTTGCCAATTTTCCTCTTTTTGCTTGAGGAAGATTGTCGCTGAGCGCTAACATCTGTGCCAGTCTTCCTCTACTTTGTATGTGGGATGCTGCCACAGCATAGGTTGATGAGCCGTGTGTAGGTCTGTGCCCAGGATCTGAACCAGTGAACCCCGGGCCACTGAAGCAGAGCACACAAACTTAACCACTATGCCAGTGGGCCAGCCCCCCAATACTAGATATTTTATGTAGGGGACAATTTAATTCCCAAAGTCAGAGTTAGACTAAAATACTAGGACTAAATTTATTCTACCCCTTAAAATTCCCCATCTTTTAGCACATTGTTAAGGAGCTTTAACAGTTATGAGTATCTCTGACCTCAACTTGATGCTGAAAACATACTTGATAGTAGTAATGTTGAAAGGTATTTGGGTTTTTTGTTTGCTTATGACTACACTGAACATGGATTTTACTGTGCTGATGTTTCCAAGTGCACTGTGAATGAATATAACCCAATATTTTTACAGTAATTTTTTGTTTTCCCTGATTATGAGGTAATACATATTCTTTATAGAGTATTTTGAAAAATAAAAGTAATGAATTAAGAAAACAAAAATCACATACAATCTTATTTCCCAGAGAGATTTACCATTAACATTTTAATGTATTTAAATGTTTACATTTAAAATTCATGTAAATTTAATGTATTTTCTTGTATTCCTTTTTTCTATGATTTCACATGATTTTTAGACTGATTTACTCATGTGCTTTTTGGTGCAGTTCTTTTCAGATTTAGTGCAGGTCGTATTAGTGCATAGATGGAAGCAGGGTCGTGTTGCCCTTCTATTGAAAAGGCATTTCTAGGTTGTTAGGAAGGCTTTCTAGAGGAGCTCCTTCTGAGAAACTACAGTCCCTGTAGAAACGGGTCCTCTGGCATTATTTCACTTGCCAATATGCCCAAGATTTGAAATGAATATCACTGATCAGATCCTTCAATCTGGGAGGATCAGTGGGTTTCAACTCGGTATCGGTTTTGATGAAGAGCGTCTGCCCAGAACACAGGTTGAAACATGGCTGGGCTTTGCATGAAAGATGTCACAATTGCCCGCGATAGGTCTGCCACGCCCGTGAATGGCGGAGGGGGCAGCGGGAGCTGCTGTACAGAGGAATCAGTCTGCTACTCCTGAGGAAGGTGACTTTTTAGATGCGCTAAAATTCGGTGCCTCGGTTAGGGAAAGAGGTGAGAGATCACAGTTTCTAGTTTTTCACTTTGGTTCTGGTCTGCACACTGGCTACCAGAAAACCAGAGCCACTTTCTCGATCAGCAGTCAGCTACAGTGCAGACAGCTACTGGGCTGTGTTGTAGCTGAACGTTTAATATGAGAAAGAAGACTGAGCATCTTCCACTGACCTTCAAACAATCTTAAATGAATTAAATAGACTTTCAGAGAGCTCTAAAAATGTAACAAACCTGCTGCCTCATTTTCTTTATTTTACTACAGTATTGGGCTAAATGAGAGTGATTATCAGAGCGCTTAAATCCTATACTGATGACAGGATAATTTCCCCCTGCTGCTCTGGGAAACTGTGTTTGGTGTTACCTTGGGCTTATGTTGGACATAAACCTTTAGGTGGTATCTCAGAGACTAAAGAAAGGAGCGAGTGCTCTTCCCTTCAATACGTGTTTTCCTTCTGTGTTTCTGCTGCAGGTTACAGAGTCAGAGTGCGTGCCAATCCCAGCCACTGGCAGTGGAGGGAGAGACTGCTCCAGGATCCTCGGGAAATGATCCAGGGGAAGAACCCGAGTTCAGAACATCCACACAGCAGGAAATACATTGTGGCACGCACGCCCCCTCTGCGGGAGGCAGTCCCTGGGGAAGCCCACTTCTCGATCCCTCATCCCATCTGGGGCCCAATAGATCAGCAAGTAGAAAACATTCAGCTGAGCACAAAAATAGCAGAGACGACAGTTTGGACTGGTTTGACTCCATGGCAACTCATCAGATTGAACCTCAAAACACTGTTCCTGTGTCTCCTCGTCCCAAAACAACTGGGGGAAAAATGGCTTTGAAAATCTCCAACAGTAAATCTCAGGGTAAGGAAAAGAGTGAGACAGGCCAAGGGAGCAAACTGGAAACTGAACAGCTTCCAGCACCAAGGGAGACAGAAGCTCCATTGAGGCCAGACAACGGTGAGGGTAAAAAGGCAAAAAAGGCAGCGATGGTTTCTGAAGCAGCAGCATCTGCTGAGGAAGCAGACTCAGTACTGACTCATCACGTCCCCAGAAAACTGCACAGGCTGCGCCAGGAGAGGGCCCAGGCTTCCTGCAGAAATCCCGCCAGGGCGCCTTCACAGCCCGCAAGCCCTTCTCACCCGCAGCCGCTTGCTGTACGCTGCCCAGAAGGAAGGCGGGAAACTCCCAAAAGAAGGAGACAGAAGGCCATTGCTCAGGCCGAAGAGCCTGAACTTGAAAGTGTTGAGAGTCCGGGTCCCCCAGTGGCCAAACTGGCAAAATTTACTTTCAAACGGAAGTCCAGACTGACCCACTCCCCTGAAGACCACAGCCGAGTGTCTCCTGGCACAACTAAAATAGCACCTCACAGTCCTAAAAGTCCCCACCACGAAACCAGAAAAGGAGCGGCTCTGCCTGTGAAGGGTCCAGAAAAGTTGGCCTCTACCTCAGGAAGCAGAAGCTCGGATCGGCTGCAGGGTAAGACAAAGGAGGTGGCACGGCAGCCTCCAGAGAGAGACGGGTCAGGAGAGAAGAGGGACCCTGCCCCGGAGAAGAGAGTTACTCAGCCTGAATTAGAGCTTGGGAATGAGACGGGGCGTTTTCATCCTACTTGTGAAAGAGAGAAAAAGGAGGAGGTTTCGTGCAGTGATAGGAGCAGCAAGGTTCATGCTTGCACACTCGCCAGATTGGCAGACTTCTCCTTCACTTCCCCCTCTGAATCCAAATCCAAGTCCCCTCCTCCTCCTGAAAGGGGGACCTGCGGGGGGCGAGGCCCAAGCCCCCCTCCTACCAGCACAGCTCCACTGCTCGGCAGGAGAAGGAAAACATTTCAGCTGGAGGGGTCCGCGGCGAGATTGTGTCTTCCCAAAAACTCTCTCTTCACTTTACCAGAACTAGATGATGACACGTTAGATTTTGATTGGGATGAAGAAATGAGAAAAAAGCCATAATCATGAAAAGCTTTCTGGTCAAATTTTACCCTCCCCAACTCAACACAGCGCCTTCAGGGCATCATTGTGGTGTTTGTATGTGCACAGAACCCTTGGCCACATTGAGTGCCATTCTGAGTACCAGCTCCTCCAACAGGTTTTATAATGTCAAGTTTATCTTCGTGACTTGAAAAGTTGTATAATCAATTGTAGGTCAGTGTGATACCAGCACTTGAATCGAATTAATTGACGTTGTGCTTAATTTTGCAAACGGAGTCCTTATATTCCCAAAGATGTTTCTGTTTGTTTTGTTTTGGCTTGGTTTCTTTTTTAAGGGGGAAGGTCTTCCCTACATCCCTTCTTTCATTCAGTCGGGGACAGATGCCAGGAAGGTGGCGCTCATAAAGCTAACAAGGCAGGTGAACTCTTTTCCTTTTTTTTTTTCCTGTATTTTTTTTTTCACCCAAGATGTGCTGAGTATGGTGAACATTTATCATGATTTGCCAAAAATTATGTGATTTTTCTAAAATTTTTTTGTGTTTATTCTCATGGGTCAGATGAAATGTGACTAAAGTTTTTTTTCTCTGAGAGGCATCCTCACAATTTCATGGTATTCCTAAAGATCTGGCAGCTGGTCAAGTACTAGCTTTCTGAAGTATTGACCTTTTGAGTTGTCCTTTCTTTCTTGAGCCAACATTTTGTGCTTCCAATTCTTTTTATCTTTTGGCCACATACCTTCAACCTTCAACTTCAACCTCAGTCCTGTGGTTGGAAGGAGAGTGTGCAGTAGTCTCAATCATGTGTCGTGGCATCTACCCATGTGGTTAGTATGGAAACGTGATTCCTACTAAGTTATGATTCATTTGTCTTTAAAACCAAGCAGATGACTGTGTCTGGGAGGAATAGATGACTCAAGCTTTGCCTTTCTTAAGTCCTCTTAAAATCACTTCTTCCTTTGGATTCTAGCAGGGGCTGTTAGGAGTCCATAATTACACTTTTTCTTCTAAAATGTGAATGTGTAAAATAATAATTAATAGATTCTTTCATTGAGGGACCTTTAGACATGAAGAATACTCAAAACTATATGTACTCTGTTTAATGATCACTTCATTAAATTCATATAGAAAAAAACAATTTTTCTTGAGCATTTAAACATCAATTCCAAAATTGAATTTTCCAGTTAAATTTTCTGAAAAATTTTAAACTATGATACAAATTTAGTATGGGCAAGTCTTGAAATCTTCAAACATCTTACACAACTGATAAAAGATATACGTAAGCAAGGATTATAAAATTTATTACTGCACATTCCCTTAAACCCATTCTAAAACATCAAGAGTATGGTTTACATAGGGTAATTTGATTATTTCTGTACTTAGTAACTTCCCAGTGTAGCATGATTCTTAAGGTGATATATTCCTAATCTTTCAGTGTTGCTACTTTCCTGGGTTTCAGTGTTCTTACTAGAACTGAGGAAAGGAAAGGATCTGGGTCATTGACCAGTTGATTCTTGGTCTGGACATGATCTGACTGTGTAGACTGTGGTCATTCAAACCTGAGCCACAGTGTTGAGCTGACTGTTTTTTTTTATGGTAAACTTCTAAGTCCCTTTCTTATAAATTTTTGTCTTTGAAACTTGGTATCTTTTGCCGTAATGATATATTAAGCTTTGCATGGCTGACGGTACCTAACCTACTCGCTTGTCATTAGGGCATTTTGATCTGTTGTTTTTATCATTTAAAATGGTTGTATTCCTTTTTGGGAATCTTGATTCTAGAGCTTTCATTTCTTAGTAACGAGGAATTTAGTTTATGTAGTTAACTTGTCTCTTCAGGACACTGAGTAATTCATATTTTAAAATTGCGGTGTTGAGTTGTCTCTCTTCCTTGGTTACTGTGTATGACCACCTATGCTACCTTCTACCTGCTTATTATTGTACTCATCATACATCCTAGTATTTGTGCTAATAAATCCACCGTATTTTTTATTTTAGTAATTTCTTCTGCCAGGATCATTTGGTCAAGTTACAAGTTCCATGTGTATATTATTTAGTGCTTACCCAGATAGAAATAACTATATATGTAAATATTATAAACAGACATAATTATTACAAGAAATAAAATACTCAATATGAATGGTCCCCTACTTATTAAAAAAATTAAACTTCTATCACCGCCCACTTTTGAGTTATGACTACTTTGCTGTGCTTATGTTTGATGCTCACAATGTCACAACTTGGTCAGTAGGAAGTGCCTTGATGTTGACACCCATGTACTTTTAGGACTCTGACGTTTCTAAAAGCATCCATGCTATCTGAAAACAACTGCATCTTCCAGACCCATTATGATTTTTTCTTCCTGCCCCACTCATAGAATCTGCTACCCCTAAGGCACTCAACTTCCTTTAGAGGCCACTGGTATTCCAGACTGAACTCGGGGTCTCAGGGATGCTGGGGGTCAGTACTGGGCAGGAGCACTACCACTGCCGTTGGGTCCCTTGTCATAGTTTCAGGGCTGGGAAATGTTTACTGTCCTGAGGTCACATTTATCCTACTGTGTCCTACTTTTCTTACAGTGTGTGCTTTCACGATGACGAAGACTTTCCCCATTTGGTCTGTAATGTGTGTACCAGGGAAGCACAGAGAGGGGAAATAGGTACAGTCTCAGAAATCACACTCTGGTCAATAAATGAAAGTGTAATAAATACATTGCATTGTGAAGCAACATGTCAGAACATTTTTATGTCAGGCCACTGGACTCCTTGAAAACATTTTAATAATGTAAAACTATTTAAACACAATAAATGCTATACCTAATTTTGTTTGTGAGAGAACCAAACCAGAATTTTAATTCTGTTCTAACTATGTAAAAGAGTTGGGTTTTCTGACACTGTGAAAGATATACTCTTCAGTGTATATGTGGTATCCTAAAATTTATAATAGAGATTTTATTGTTGTAATTTTTAGTGTTTCTTAGAAATAGGGAAAAAACAAACATATTATTCTGATATCTTTAATTGTTTGGCTTAATTCAACCAAACTTTAAACTTTTTCTGAAGGTTTACCAAAACTTTAATAATAGAGATCTATTCTTGGTTGACAAATTTTAACAAACCTACATATTCTTTATGTGTATACTGTACTTCATTTCTGTGCCTTCTCCAACTGCTAAAGCTGCCCAGCTGGTGGAATTACTGGAAGACCAAGTCTAGAGAAAATCTCAGGTCAACCCCAAGGAAGACCCCTAGAGCTCACTTTTAGCCAAACCACAACATTTGGGAGTTCAGAACCAACCTACCCTGACGGTCTAGGTCATCTGGCACCAGGTTAACCTCCCAGATGCAGCTGATCAAACAGCCTAGCTTCAAATCTAAGGCTCACAGCGCCGAAGGCCAGGCCAGTGCACGTTCCTCAGTGTTCAAAACATCTTCTGTGTCTGCTTTCCGTATTGTTAACATTCAGGAAAGATTAAAAAGGCTCCTGGCTCACAAGAGGGGTTTTGTTGCGTCCCGTCTTGCAGGTGGCAGAGCCCCCCAGGTATATGGGGAGCCATCACCCACACACGTCCCCTTCACCGTCATGCAGAGGACGTACACAGGAAGCTGTGGAACTGCCCCCTATGACACATTCTTCTGTTTTCTTATCACTTCCACTGTCTTCCCTCTTGAAGGCTTAGGATATGTCTAAAGGTAATATTTGTAAAAGTCAACTTGACAGAAATGTTAAATTTGGCTTAATTAAATTGTTGATGTGTCTATGTAAACACTCCGGTGCAACACGGAGTCCAAGAAGGGAAACGGGTGCACACGCTGGGCCTGATCTCACCGAGAAGCGGGGTCTAAGTTATTTATCTTGTAAATGTAAATGGTTTTTTCGGCCACTCTTCTTTTTGGAATGTTAAGCCTTGGCCAAGTCGAACCTCCAGAAAGCAAGCATTCGTACTGGGTGCATCTTTCTGTGGGGACAGACTTGGTTTAACTTAAGGCTTTCATAATAAACCAAGCCAGTGTTGAAATATTGCTTAATATTCCGATCTAACTTTTTCAGGGCCCGCTGATACACAAAGGAGAGCAGGTAGCACAGCAAAATAGGGACTCAGGCAAACTGGGTCCTAGAACTGACTGATCACAGCCGGCAGTGTGACCTCACTGTCCTCAGTGATCTCGTCCATAGCAGCTGAGGATGAGGGTTTCGGACTCAGGTGGTGGTGAGTTAGAAGAAAGGAAGCCTCGGAGGCTAGCTGAAATAAAAGTAGATTTGCTGTAAGGATATGGCGGGGAGTCTCACTAAAGACGGGAAGCAAAGTCTCACCAGGCTACATGGCCCTGGAACCAGAAAGTTCTCTCAGCCTCTCCTGGGTCCTCAAGGCCCCTGGCCCTGCCTCTCGGTGAGTGTGATCCGGTTTTACTGTCCCCTCCACAGCCCCGCTGTCTGTGCTCACTCAGGGCTTCTCTGCTCCAGGTACATTGTAGCTTTGCTCTGCTTTGGGACCCGGCTCCAGCAGTGCCTTTCTCTGATCTTTCCTGGTGATACACCCCTCTTCGTCTTCCTGCTTCAGGCTGTGTTCACCTTGGTTCAAGAGGAGGTGTGTGTGGGGTGAGTGGCCACGTGGTACAAACTCAACAGCCAGAGCTGTGGGTGGAGACAGAGTCTCCGAGGGTGTGAGGTGGGAGCCGGTGATTGGCCAGTCCGCCACTCTTGGATCTTGAGAGGGTCTTGGTTACAGGTTCCATAATTCTACCACCTTTGTTGTTTCTGTTACGGTTACCAACTTGAGAGAGCGTGCCTCGAAAGGCATTGAGATTGAATTCCAGCCTGACAGCAACGAGGTGTTTTTCAGAGATTGCAAGCCCCTTTTGGCAGGGTGAAAGCGCAGCTTAAGCTGCAGGCCGCAGAGCGAGCTGTTTGTTGTGTGAGTGGTTGCCAAGCTCCCATTGTCCTGTGCGTCAACTGCTCATCGTAACTCCATCATAGCTTTTAGAAATGCTTTGATGAAAGACAAAGTAGATAGAAAGTAGAAAGGATATTATTCTGAAATATACCATAGGGAATGATCTCTGCAGTTAAGGTACATCTTAACCTGCTCCAGATTTTCAATGTTATAATTGCCAACAAAGCAGGAACTAGACCCACTGTGAGGAGAGGCAATACAAAGTGTCTTAGGCCTACTTTAATCCTTTTTAGGATTACCGAGAAATGATAGTCCAGAATAATTTTGAACTGAAGAGCAATGCAAGATTGATCTTTAGTGATCTTACCTTTATCATTGTTGGGAAATTAAACTGCTTTTTAAGAAGGGGAACCCAAAGCTGCCTCGCTGAATCTAGCATATCAGAGACCTTGGTTTGCTGCCTTTGAGGGGACCTAAAGTGAATGGGGAGCGACGCTAGTGACTGGGGCACAGTAAATCCCTGGAGAGGCTCCTCGTCTGCATCCTTGCCCCGAAGAACTAGTAAAGGTGGAAAATTCAAGTATCTGTTCACATGACCCATCCTTGAATGGGAAAGTACCTGCCAGACACTGTCCAGTCAGTTTTCTTCCCAATATCATTATATGGGTTCTGACAGTTACAAAAGCAATGAAATGTTAATTTCATTATAATTAGATATATGGACATTATAACAGTTTTCTCCAAAAACGGTAAGCTGAGTTTCAAAGAAACTTTGAGCCAAGTTAAGTTCATGGCAATTGAGATTTTTCTAAATTGGTTTTGAGCACGTATTAAGCCCAAATTTTAATTACAACATATCAATCATCATAACATTAGTACTTAGTTTTCAAAATGTATTTGATACATGACAATGATTTTCGTAACTAGTAATGTTCATAATTCAGGTGATACCCCATTTTACAAATGAAGAAAAAGCTCAAACATTTAAGTGAGTTTTTAAAAATCTTTAACATACCTTATTTGAAAGAAGTTTAGGGGGGCCGGCCCAGTGGCTCAGCGGTTAATTCGCACGTTCTGCTTTGGCGGCCTGGGGTTCACTTTGATCCTGGGTGTGGACCTACGCACCGCTGGTCCAGCCATGGTGTGGCATCCCACATATAAAGTAGAGGAAGATGGGCGCAGATGTTAGCTCAGGGCCAGTCTAACTCAGCAAAAAGAGGAGGATTGGCAGCAGCTGTTAGCTCAGGGCTAATCTTCCTCAAAAAAAAAAGATTAGGTTCTGGACAAATACTTCCCAAATCCTTCCCTCACTTTTTAGTGCTCCATTAAAAGTAATATCTATCAATAAAAGGTAGAAGTTATCTACTTAGATTGCTTACTATGTGCTAATTATTCTTTACGCATTTTTCTAGTGTTAATTCATTTAATCCTCCCCACAATCTATACTATAGTGGTATTATCCTCATTTTACAAATTTAGGTAACTGCAGCTTAGAGATAACTAAATAACTTGACCGAAGTTACCTTAATATATTACTTCACAAAATGAGAGAAAAGTATTACCTCCAGAAACTCCCCACTTTGCCAAGCTCCTGGTCCACTTCCCACCATACGTGAGGCTCTGCCAGGACCTGCACCGCGGGTCCTGCCTTCTCGCCAATACCGCAGATGGACCATCTGTGCTGCTATCGAAGAAAACCCGTCCTCTGTGTGCTGGATCCCATCCCCTCTTGCCGGCTCCAGCAGTTCTCCCCTCGCTGCTTTATCCATTGACCCCTCTCCACTGTACCCTTTCCACCAGCCTACAGACATCCTGGTATTTATCCCATCTTAAAAGAACAACGACAAAACAAAACAATAACAAAACAGCTCTCTACCCAACCTCCCTCTCCATTTCTCTGTTCTGGCAAAATTTTTTAAAGAGTTGTGTATTCCCCAGTCTCCATTCCTGTCCCCTCTCCTGGCCACTTCAGGTCAGCTTTTGCCCTTGGCACTGTGTTAAAGTTCTCTTATCAAGGTCACCAATGACCTTCCATGCTCGTCCTCAGTCCTTACCTTACTTGATTTGACAGTCGACTACTCTCCCCTCCCTGAAATCCTTCAGACTTCGCCTCCAGGAGATCAGCTGCCTGTGGTTTTCCTTCCTTGCCTCTTAGGGCCTCCTCAGCTTTTCTGCTCCTTGCCTAGTTTCTCCTCCTCCCCTGGACCTTTAATGTTCGAGTGACCCGGGGTTCATTTCTATTCCCACCCTCTCCCCGTTACTCTCTTTGAGTCTTAGGACTCTCAAAACCCATCAATTAGTCTATGATTCCTTTCCTGAAGTCCAGACTGTAATATTCAACTCCTGTTCAATATCTCTCCTTGCGTGTCTAAAGGATATCTCAACCCTCACTGTATTCCAAATTATACTCCTGACTTTTCCCCCCAAACTTGCTCCTTTCCCAGATTCATCCATCTTGGTAATTGAATGGAGACTCCATCCTTCCAATTGTTTAGGCCAAAAACTTCAGAGTTAGCCTTGACAGTTTACTTTCTCTTCTATCCCACATCCTATCTGTTAGCAAATCCTGGGGAATGTCCACTTAACATATACCCAGAATCTGGCCACTGCTCACCACATTTGTGCCCTCACGCTGGGCCAAGCCATTGTTCTCTCTTGCCTTGTTGCCCTCCTTGCCTCTCTGTGGGCTATTCTCAGCACAGGAATCGGAGTGATCCTGTTAATAAATAAAGTCAGATCATGTTACTTCTTACCTCAAACCCTCCAGTGGCTCCTTACCTCGTTCTGGGTACAAGCCAAAGTCCTTATAATAATGCTGCCTAAGGCCCTACACATCTGGCCACCTGCTACTTCTTTGACATTGCACACCAACCTGGCTGTTCCTGTAAGTCTCCAGACATGATCCCGCCTCAGGGCCTTTTCACTTGCTGTTCCATCCATATGAAGTGTTCTTCTTCTGAAGGTGATCACTCCCTCACCTTCTTCAAGATTTTGCTCAAATGTCACCTGTCAGAGAAGCCTACCCTAACCTATTCGAAATAGCAGAACATTTTTCCCCTTACCCAATTTTTCCCTAGCATTTTCATCATCCAACGTACTATAAAATTTACTCCTTTATTTTATTGTCTGTCACCGGAACTAACTAAGAATGAGGGAAATATAGAATGAGTAGTAGAAGAGAGAAACCGTAAGTATCAGTTGCTGCCTCCAGATCAGCTGCTGTGGTGGGGGCTGTGGCTAATACCACATCTGGCACAACAGCAGCAGTTATCTCTGCTAGTTGATGGGGCTTGGAGCACTCTGCTGACATCTTCCAGGATCTGTCCAGTTTTTGTGGGGGCCAGGCTGATGAATTAAATGGAGGTTTGATGGGGATCACCACTCTCCTTCCTTTAGGTCTTTAAGGGTAGCATTAATTTCTGCTATTTGCCCCGGGATGTGTGTAATTTGCCCAGAGGAGGGGTGTAGGGGCAGCTTCAGAGGCTCACACTTGTCCTTCCCACCATGATAGCTTTAATTCACAGGCCAAGGAACCAATGTGAGCATATGGGTACTCTGCCAGCTTGCAAGTATCGACTATTTCAGTTATGCATTCAAGGACCGGGGACATAACCACTGGGCTGGTCCCTGGACCAACTAGACCCACGGTGAAGTGGACTTGGGCCAGGAGCCCATACACACCCACTCTACCAGAGGGACCATGTTTTGTGTCTTGCTGGGTATCATTGTTAACTCAGATGTTATGTCCAACATCTCAAAATATTGGGCTATTTCTTTTCCCCAGGTAAGTATCTGTCAGTCCCTTTGGGGAAGGATTGGGGAAATCATTGTCATGGAGACTTGCCAAGGTGTTGCAGGGTACTCCTTCCTGAGGATCTGGCCTTTCCTTCAGTCAGTGAGCTCTGAGTCCGAAATTTGGTTCAGGTCCAGAAGTGGTCAAAGAATTCCGACTTTTTAATGGCACAGCTGCCCTTAGCCTCCTCATCATCCTTCCTTTTGACAGTACAGATTAGTGCATCAGAGTCGCCTGGAGGCCTTGTTCAAACACAGATTGCTGGGCCCCACCCCTAGAGTTTCTGGTTGAGGAAGTCTGGGCTGGGGCCTGAGAATGGGTGTTTCTAACAATTTTCCGGGTGCTGCTTATGCTGCTGGTCAGGGGACCACACTTCAAGAGCCACTGGTATAGATTGATCTTGCATCCAGGGACTCCAGCCGCTTCCATAGCTCTCTGTGCCTCAGTCTCCCTCCTGCTGCTCTGACCTTGCTGCTCAGTGCAGTATTTGCTCCCACCTTGCTTCTGACAGATAAGCATTGTCATCTGGCCTCTGCTGTTCTGGAATCTTCTCTCTCCACATTGATCAATCATTGGATGTCGGCTGTCTCTGGGGAGAAGGCATGACCTTGGGCTAGGGCTCTGGGCAGCCAAGGGCAATCTCTGGGAGTGGAGATGCCGCTGTGAGCTGTGAGCTGTGAGCACTCTCAGCAGTGGGGAAGACGGGCACATGCGTTTGAAGGGAAATATGGGGGGTACACTTCAGACCCTACCATGCATCTATCAGCATCCTTCTCATGGCTGGGACTAGGAGGAGGGGAGTGAGATTTGCCTTGAGCACAAAATTTGAGAGGACACCAAAAACGTAAATAATCAAGATAAATATTTTGTTGCAATATTTTTAAAAATCAAAGGGCAAAAAGAAAATCAATAATGGGCAAAATATCAAATTTTTAAACAAAGGTAGGATCAGTGTTACTGATTCCTCCTTTTGCCTCGGTCTCCAGTATGGCCTCAGGTCCAGCAGGGCACCATCTGTCTTCCCTCACCAGACTGTAAGCTCCACGAGGGCAGGCTGTTTGTCTGTGTTACTCAGCAGTGTACCCCCAAGACTTAGAAGAGTGCCTGGCACCTAGTAGATGCTCAATAAATATTTGTTGAATGAGACATTTAAGACATTTGAGGGCAGAATGACCATTTATCTACATTTGCCCATTTCTCCCTCTCGTTTCTTTTTCTGTTTAGTGTTCCTCCACTAACGCTGACTGTACACAAGAGGCTGCCTTCACCTTGGGGCCAGCAGACTTGGAGGGAGCCATGCAGATTAGCGAACGCACCTGACGAAAACAGGATGTATTTTATTACAAAGGGCAGTTTTGAGGTGTGTGTTTAAAAATATTTTCTTAATTGATTTCATCATCAAATTTAAGGTATTTATGTGGTGTGTGTCATTGTACTAACCACAGCTATTAGTTGTCAGCTTGTATAATTATGAGAAACAGCTTTTAGAACTGCTCTGCTGATCCTAAAGAATTACCCTGCCGCCCAACCCGGTATCAATGGATTTAGAATTGCAGACCAAAGACGGAACAGAAGACCTTGATGCAGAGTGGGGAGTGTAATGGTCAGCAGGCTGCTCCCCTCCCCCTCTCCAGCTGTCTGTCTCAGTGAGACGGGAGAATCCTGCTGGGAGCTCGAAGGTTGAGGGCAGTACATGGAGGGAGCACCTTCTGGGTGTGGGCTAGCTGGCAGCATCTTTGCACATGATGCTGGAAGAGGATGTGGCCAGAGCTGCCAAGCACTGACACGAGTAAGCCCCCTCCTTACTGCAGTCCTGTTGTCACCACACCCTACCCTTTTTGCACCCACAACCAATTGTAACTTTTTTTTTTAACCAGTAAAGAGAGTTTGGGAGTCTCTGGGCCAGATAAGAATCTCAGTGGTTAAAGGCAACTCCCATTCACTCTAGAAGGATGACATTGTTTGCATCCTGCCAAGGCTCGAGTCCAGGAGGAATCCCAAGCATCAGGTCTCAGTATCATTTCAAAACAAAACACAAACCTTCCAAGTAAAAAGTTAGACCTGAGAAACCTCAGAAGCAGGTGAACTGAGCCTGCTTGTCTCTGGAGCAAGAGCCGTGTATGAAGACTGCGGGGGTGGTGCTGGGGTCCTGCCTCAGGTTGTGTGCAGACTGCCACCCACCCAGCTCAGAGATCTGAGGAGGGCGATGACTGTGAAGACATGGGGGATGACCGGTATCGAGCACCTACTGTGCGTTAGGCTTCATTATTAGATGCCTTATGCATGTTTGTGTCTACTCATGTTGGAGAGATATATATATATATGAGATAGATATATGAGACAGATAGATACTTATTTCTCACAGCAATTCTGTGAGAAATGTATCATTAACCTTGTTTACAGATGAAAACATGATCGGAGGGGCTAAGTTAATTTTTCAAAGTCACAAAGCTAACAAATGGCTTCCAGTGGAGGAGGAACAGTATGATTTCAAAGCCAGTGCTCCATCCACTCTATCAGGAGAGTTCTCCCAAAAGAAATGTGACTGTGTGAGGGCAAGGCCAAAGTCCTAAGGGTCTTGGCTCATCTCCCATTGGGTCATCGTGTGCTTCCGGAAGAAAAGTGTGAGGCAGCTCTCTCCAGATGGTCACGAAGCCAGGGCAGCAGTGCCTGAGGGCCGGCCTCCTTTCCTCGCCCGGCAGCCCTCAGCAGCCGCTCCGTGGTCCGAAGCGGGGGACTCCTCGATGCCTTGGCCTCGGTTCAGCACCTGAGAAAATGCAGTTGCCCTGCAGGACATTCATGTCGTGTGGGGCTGCAGGTACCATCCATATGAACCCACTGAGAATGCCACCTCTGGGGATGGTATGGGGTGGCCCCACCAATCTTCCCTTTTTATTTCCCACCAAATAGGTGCAAATATTTTTTTCATGGAGAACTTTTCCTCATTAAAAAGTTTTCAGTCGCTGGACCCTAGATGACCCTCCTGAAGGGGTTTTTGTTTGTTTGTTTCGTGCGTTTACTTGCCTTGACCACGAGTGCTCTAACAAGTGAATAGTCGCCACGGAAAGGAATCTAGGTCAGCCGGGCCTTTCTGCCACTCACACCACTAGGGGGCATGACGTGACTCTGATGCAGGAACCAAAAGGGCTGAGATGCGTAAATTGACCAGCAAAAGCTGGAGGCTTGCCTGCCTTCAGCTCTCATGATGAAAACATTTCTGCCAAAATCATTCTCATTTGGCCAGCTGAGGAGTGAGCCAGGAGACTGGCTGGGGCGTCCAGGAGGTATGCCATCTGATCATTATGAGAAACTGCTCCATCTCCCAAAGACTTTGAAAATGCCTGCCTGAACAGCTAGGCTGCAACAGGGCTTTGAAACCCTCTGAGTCATGAGGTCAGAGTCTGCTTTGTAGAAACCTATAATCTGAAAGAATATACACTTAATAATGTGATTCCTTTCAGAGGTAGGGGGCAAGCAGTCAGATTCCAATTCTGCAAGGTCCTCAGAGAGATTTTGTTAATCGGAAGTTTAAAAATATTCCCAGAATCTCACACAAGCAATAGCCTGCATTATTTTTTCAATTGAGATATAATTGACTTGTAACATTGTGTAAGTTTAAAGTGTACAATGCGTTGATTTGATACATTTATGTATTGCAATGTGATTACCACCATGGCACTAACACACACCTCCATCACGTCAGGTAATTATTGTTTCTTTTTTGTGGTGAGAACAATTAAGATCTAGTCTCTTAGCAACTTTCAAGTATATAATATAGTAGTATTAACTATAATCACCATGCTGTGCATTCGATCTCCAAAACTTTCTCATCTTCTAACTGCAAGTTTGTACCAGTTGGCCAACATCTCCCCAGTTCCCCACTCCCCAGCCTCTGGTAACCACCATTCTACTCTCTATTTCTGCGGGTTCAGCTTTTTCAGATTCCACATGATATAAGTGGTAACATTACAGTATTTGTCTTTCTCTGTCTGATTTATCTCACTTAGCATAATGCCCTCAAGATCCATCCATGTTGATCCGAATGGCAGGATGTTCTTTCTCATGGCTGAATAATATTCCGTTGCGTATATATACATACAACATCTTTATCCATTCATCTGTTGACGGACACAAGTGGTTTCCATGTCTTGGCTATTGTGAATAATGCTGCAATGAACATGGAGGTGCAGATATCTCTTCAAGATTCTATTTTCATTTCCTTTGGATAAATACCCAGAAGTGGGATTGCTGGATCGTATGGTAGTTCTAGTCTTAGTTCCTTGAGGAGCCTCTATACTGTTTTCCACAGTGGTTGCACCAATGTACATTTCCACCCACAGTGCACAAGGGTTTCCTTTTCTCCACATCCTCACCAACACTAGTCATTTCTTGTCTCTCTAATAACAACCATTCTAACAGATGTGAGGTGTTATCTCATCGTGGTTTTGATTTGCTTTTCCCTGATGATTAGTGACATGAGCATCTTTTTTTTTTTTTTTTGAGGAAGATTAGCCCTGAGCTAACTGCTGCCACTCCTCCTCTTTTTGCTGAGGAAGACTGGCCCTGAGCTAACATCCATGCCCACCTTCCTCTACTTTATACGTGGGATGCCTAGCACAGCATGGCTTTTGCCAAGCGGTGCCATGTCTGCACCCGGGATCCAAACCGGCGAACCCTGGGCCGCCGAGAATTGGAACGTGTGAACTTCACCACTGCACCACTGGGCTGGCCCCATGAGGCGAGCATCTTTTCGTGTACCTGTTGGCCATTTGGCTGTCTGCTTTGGAAAAATGTCTATTTAGGTCCTCTACTCATTTTTAAGTGGATTGTTTGGAGGTTCTTTTGCTATTGTATGAGTTCTTTATATATTTTGGATATTAACCCTTTATCACATACATGATTTGCAGATATTTTCTACCATTCCATAGGTTGCCTTTCCTTTTGTTGATGGTTTCCTTTGCTGTGCAGAAGCTTTGTAATTTGATGTAGTCCCGCTTGTTTATTTTTGCTTTTGTTGCCTTTGCTTTTGTTGTCAAATCCAAAAATCATTGCCAAGACTGTTGTCAAGGAACTTACCCCCAGGCTTTCTTCTAGGAGTTTTACAGAGGTGTGGGTTTGGCACTCAGGGTGTTGGGGGTGCCCATGGGCCAGGTGGTGGGGGGTCCTCTAGTGACGTTTTCTCATCAGCTCATGAGCAGGCTTCCTGCTGGAGTCTAGAACAGTCAGCAGGAACCGTGTCCCTTTACTGCCTTCTGATGTTCTGATCTGCCTCTTTCCTAGCCTCCTCCCTCCTCCTAGTCATGGAGCTCTGTCTTACCACTCTGGCTGCTGTGGGAGAGACATGGGTTTCCTTAGCAGCATCCTGCACAGCTGGGGTAGCTGGGGGCTCACTCACTGCTCTCCCTGTCTCTCCCAGGAGAGATTGCTGTCCTCCTGTTTCTCTAAGGTGGGCCACCTTGGGGCAAGGGATGATATTAGGCAAAGACTCCAAGACATCCAAACTTGTATTTTTTTTTTTTTCCCACAGAGTGCTGGAACTTGGTCTTCTGCAAAGGCTCTCTTGTCGTGGGTTTCTACCCAAATCGGTATTTTCCAGGCGTTCCAGGACTGCGGCTGAGAGGGGCTGGAGCCAGTCCACAGCCCAGAGCAGGATCACCTGTTCCCCATTGCACAGGTGGGCTGGACTCTCCCGGGTCCTTGGGCGTGTGATTCTAGATCCCACGACTCCCGCAGGGGCACTTTGTTCATGGATAGATGCCAAATTTTAGTTGTTAAAGGGGGACAAAAATGAGGGATGTTTTGTGCTGCCATGATGTTCATGTCACTCCTCCCAGTAGCCTGCATATTGGCAATCCATAGTATTGCGTCCATACGGTGTGATGATAGACAGATCGTGGGATTGGGTGCCGGACAGAGCGGCTACTCACTAGCTTTGTGACTCCAGCAGTACATAATCTGAACATCAGCAAAATGGCTCAGTATCTCCTTCATAGGCTTATTCAACACTACAAGTATTTATCCAGGACCCACTGTGTGCCAGGCACTGTGCTAGGCCTTGGGGATGTGATAAATGATGAGGCAGACGTGGCTGGTCCCTGCCTCTTGCACATTACATTCTAGTGAGGATCGTGTCACCAGCAGGGACATCTCTAATGTGCCTGCACAGGGCCTGGCACATCACACACACTTAACACGTGTTTGTTCTTTTCTC